TTGTCAAATATGTAAAATCGTCTTTCAGTAATAAATAATCATTCTTTGTGGCCAATTCGGCTTGTTTATTCTGGTTTTGTGGGTATGTAACGCGTTTGCATTATGTCTGCGACCTTTTGAACCTACACAGTGTTAGGAAAAAAACTAATAGTATATATATTTTTTCAGTTAACTGCAAGTATTTTTTTCAAAATGTAATAACAAATTGCTCTCGAAATGTAGTCACTATTTAAGTAATTTTAGGAGTTTAAATTTTGCTGGAGGTTTCAATTTATTCTCGTGCTCAAAATTTAAAATAAATAAAGATTGAAAGAAAATAAATTCGCAAAATATGGTTTCGAAAAATATTTTGTCATGAGAAATTGTTAAGAAATGCCTCATCCATGTTTATATATTATATAAGCCAATTTATTACTCTAAACAGTTTTTTTTCCTTCAATATTCAACTTTTTACGCTTTCTTCCATGACAGGAGATATTAATTTCAAGAAACTCTAGAAAGATATCAAATATTTTTAATTGTATTAAATACATAAAACTCCTTTATTTCCTCAAGAATTAATGCATACACCGAAAGTTATAGATCAAAATACAATATTCCGCTGATGCATTCGCGCAATATTTGCACCTATCACGTTCAAAAAATTAGTTGTGTTAGCAACTTTTTCTTTTCAAACTTTCAAAGTAGTTGCCAGGTATCGTAACAAACTAACTGTTTTTCGTGTAACACTACCCACCGTACTACAAGCAAAAGAAGTGCATTACATTACAAACGAAAAAAAGTTGCGACTACAGTAGTTTCGTTGTTTTCAGATAAAGTATGTTAGTTTTGACTGTTGATCCTACATAATTCTAGCGAGTTACATGTTTCAGAGCCCCTTGTAGGTTTTTAAACCAATAATAATGAATTGCCCAGTACATACTATAAGAAAGTCTGAAAAATTAAACCAATTTATAATTATACTATTTCATTTAATTGGGAATTGTTTATTCTACATTCGATTGTAACTACTTAAATCAAAACAAACTTCTGTGCAGTAAAAATCCTTTTTATATAAAATAAATAAAGTATTATACTATAAACATCACCTGGGAAAACTATTAAAACGTGCGCATGGTTCACAATATTTTCAGTATCATTTTTATGGTATAGTTATTATAATTACCCTTTATAAAGATGTTATCTTGTTAAATATTAGCGCCGATAAACTTACGGATCTAAAAATAAAAACAAAATAAAACAAATATTTTTAGAACATCTTTAATTTAAAAACAGTTTTAAATCCGACAAAAGGATAAAAAAGAAGTCGTATATTCTATAGCAGTTACTCCTCATTCTTATTTTTATTTTCTTATTTTCTTCAGCTTTGGAACCCTGAATGATTCAACATTTTTCGGCAGAACCCCGACTTTATAAATAATATAGTACATACAAACAATCGTGAGCTTATTGACCAACTAAAGTCTACTTTATTTTGAAAATATTTAGATTAAAGAACGAAATTTTTTCATCTTATTTTTCATAATTAATCTTAAATTGGATTTTATATCAGACAGTTGAATTCACAACTCCTCGAGCAGTATCTAATTTAGTTTTAAATTAGTTTTTGGAGGTATATACATAAGCGAAAATGAAACTAGTAGTGAAACATTGCGGTTTTTGTCGAACTGAAAGCTAAAAGAACTATTATAAACGTTGAAAATTATAAACCTGGCAACATGTTTCTTTGTTAACGAATTTAGTTATTTAGATTTGAAAAGCGCGATAGGAAATATAAAGGCAATTTTTCATAAATTCAGATTCTTTTCATAATACTGTTATTAGAATCGATTCCAATCATTCAAAAACAAAACAGGTATATTCGTATTTCATACGTTAGAAATATAGTTATTGGGAAAATGAAACGTCCCTAAAAAAAAAATTTTTTTTTTTGGTATTTATTTTAAATAATTTCATAAAGACGTCCGAAATAATAAATAACTATTAGATTATTTCTCTGATTCTGATTCAGGTAAAAATTACGATTTGTGGTTCCGCCTTATAAAACAGATGTGACGTATGATGTGGCAGAAGTCGAATTCTTGGCCATAGATGGCGCCACTGAAAAAACAAGAATCGCACACTCTGCCTTAATTTGCTCGGTTTCACCAAACAGGCTTGCCCGTGTGGCAAGTGGCATTAGAACCAACCAACTAACCAACTAATAGATTATTAATTAGATTTAATAAATATATATAAAATTTCAAAAATTATTACTGTGAAGTTAACGTTTTTTTCTTTAGTCTTCCACGGAATCCTAGGGCTCTGCAAAACATCATTTGGGAACCACTGTTCAATAACAAAGAGTTAAATTGTAAAGCTTCTTTTCTCTAGAATTTACATATTTTAAACTGTATAAAAATATTTTTAGAAGTTTCTACGAATAATATTAGACGTAATTGGGTGATTTTAGATGATATGATGCTCATAAGTTTTAACGAAACCAGTTTCAAACGAACCCCTCTTTTCAAAAAAAATTATTAAAAAAATTCGCAGTCTCCAGCCTAATAATAAAGCTATATGCTCTGAACTTGGATGCTTAATTGGGCTCAGTATGATTTTATTAAAATTTTCTAGAGTTATAAAAATATTTACGAAAAGTATGACATCAATATTTTAAAATATAGCCAGTTTCGAAAGAATCTCGCATAGCAAAAAATTATTAAAAAATCTTTAATTTGTCCACCTTTAATGCGTTGCGATATGTATCCATGTATGTTCTGAACTTTGTTTTTTTTTTGACTTAATAATATGTTCTTAAAAATTTTCTATTAATATTTATAGACACATTTACGGAAAATATGACACCCATATTTCAATATGAAATCAGTAATAATGCGTTACAAATAATTTTAAAAAAATCCTCAAATTGTCCACACGGATGTTAGCTTAGGCACAGACATTTGCATGTTTTAAACTAAATTAAAAAAAATTATTAATTTTCTATAATATTTCGAGTTATATATGGGTATTTTCGAAAATTAACCCCTTTTATTTTAATATAAAACTTGTTTTAGATGATTCTCGGTTTCAAAAATTAAAAAAAGAAAAAAAAATCTTAAAATTAAACCTAACGTTAGCTTTATGTAAGGTTCGTAATTTGATTATTTTGGATTAAAAAAAAATCCTATAAATACTCCAAACTTTATAAGAATATTTTGAAAATATACGACAGACTTGTTATTACACGAATCCACAGTTACAAAATAATCCCTCACTGCAAAATGCTATAAAAAGTTAAAAAGCTTACACCCTCAGCGCTATAATATGCTCTGGACTTCGCAAATATTGGACTCGATAAAACTTTTTACAAATTTTTCATTATAGACATGCATGGTTATTTTTTGAAATTATGACACCCATATATTATAATATGAGTCCAGTTTCAAATTAAACACGTGTTATAAAAAAAATTCGCAAGGTGTCCTTCTTAATATTAGCTTCAAAAATGCTCTGGACTTCGCTTGTTTTGAAATAAATATTTTTTTTAAAATAGAAAAAACATTTTTCAATAATTCTAGACACATACGGCTTTTTTTCAAAAAAATATGATGCCCATAATTCAATATAAATAAGTTTTTGTAAAATAATAATGCTCATAAAAATTAAAAAAATAAAAAATTTATCATCCGAGTTTTAGAGCTATTTATGCTCTTAACTTAGTGTGTTTTGGACTAAAAAAATTTATGAAAATTTTCAATTTCTTTTTCAAAAATATGCTGTTTATATTTTTAACATAAAACCAGTTTTTAATTTTTTTTTTAGCATTTTTATTTTTCGATAAATATTTCTAGACACACATGACTATTTCAGAAACTATGAAATCCATATTTTAATATTAAACCAGTTTTAACTGATCCCGCAAGCGCAAAAAGGAAAAAAAAAGTGTTCATCCTAATTTTATTTAAATTCGTGGGTTAAACATTTTTAAAGGTTAACATGTTCTGCTCTAAAAACGATTCCCTCAAATTTTCTATAAATAACTCTTGAGTTATACGGATAATTCCGGAAATTATATCGTCACCATTTAATACAAAACCATTTTTTTTATCAGAAAATTGTAAGAAGTTCGTTATGTGTCTATCTCACGTTAGCGCTTTGAAATTTTCATATTTTGGTCTAAAGACTTTTTAGAAGAAAATTTCTGTAAATGTTTCTAAACACAAATCTTTTTTCTTCTTTTTTCTGCAAACACGACGCCTATATTTTAATAAGAGTTCTTTTTCAGAAGAATTCCGAATTGCAGAAAAATATATAAAAATTCCCAAAATGTCCACCTTTATGTTAGAAAAGTGGCGTGAAGAAGTGTGTATGCCCGTGAAAATAGGATTGAAATCGTGTAATTTCTGGAGAGGGCGAATAATACCGTAATTAAATTTTATACATTTCCAACAAAATTTTCTAAAATGTAAAAGATATTTATATTTTAATAACCTTTAACTCAATCTTTAAATTTGTTTGAAATTTTTTTTCGTAAAACACTTTACCTAAGCTAAATGTTTGCCTAATAAAAAGTTTAATTACTTAATTAAATAATAAAAGTTATTTACAATTGTTGCATATTTAAAGACTTAATGTACTTAGTTGTTGTTTTAATGCCCCCTTAGATTTGATACAAATATTTATACAAGCAATCGTAGCATAAAAAAGGAGGGGGAAAAACACTTTTTCTTATAAAGAGATTATAATTTATTATAAGTATTATTCTTTTAGAATCAAATGACACTTTCATTTAAGACGAAATGCTGAAATCTTATCTCTTAATTTCATTATAAGTCATCCGATAATATCAACAGAACATCACCTTTTCGAAAATGAGTAATTCATCAACCTGTGTTTTTTATTCAAGCTTCAACCTGTTACAAAATGTGAGGTAGATCTTGGCGTGCTCTTCTATCTTGGCAGTAAAAAAATAATAAAACTTGGCGACTTTACACGAAAATTCAGCCAATATATCTCGCCAAAAACTTTTCTCATTCAGGCTTTCGGTTGAAGTTGAACGAAAATCTCAGTTACTGTGAGAGCTTTGAGTAGTGAATAATTGCGTCAGATAGTGTGTCGCGTTTCTCTATTTTTAGGATTGTTTACATTAATAAGGTAAGCTTTTTTTTCTTTTAAAAAATCATTGCTGTGGAGAATAAGCTATTTTTTAACCGATCTTTTTCGATAATCCAAAAAGCTTTTGGGTTGCTTTGATATGATGTAATACTAACCCCCAGCAGCGTTTACTATCACGGCTATTCGTTCTTTGTTGTTATTATGCTATGAATCACGTGGGTCTTTGCTTCATAGTTTACTATGGTATTGCTCATAACCTTTTGTGATTGTCTTTATTGTTTGTATACCTATAATCCGAATAAAATAAAATATACTGTGTTTAGATAAATATACGATTTTATGGGAAGACTTTCCTTATTTGTTATTTTATGAAAAAAAAACATAATTATTTGTCAGTAGGTATTCTATAAATATAATATTTAGGTGAGCAAATAAAGTACATAAAGATTTATTTCTTTTTAATAAATGTAAGATTTTCGTGAGAATATTTTTCTTACTATTCATTATTAATTATTCTTTAAAAAAATTTAGTATTAGTCTATATTTTTGTGATTATTCATGTGAAATGCCGAGTGTATGATGTCTATTTTAGTTGTTATGCGATGTTTACAGTGGTGTAAATAACACTCTTGTTGCGAGGGGGAGGGGAGCATGAGGTTTGAGGGGCACTCACCACATAAAATATCACCACAAGTTAAACAAAGATATATTTTTTACCTAAAATATTTTCTAAAGCACTTTATAAGTGTTAATAACCCTTAATTAAATTCTGAATATAATTGCTATGAGATAGTTAATTTCTCCTATTTTGTTTTATAATCTCTTTAATCGGTGAGCTGCATGTAGTAAAAGCAGACAAATAGAATATGAGCTTATAACTTATTTAAAGAAAGAAATCTTCTATTGATTTATTCTAATTTTTAACTTAAATTTTTATTTCCGCAAATTCTTTTTGAAAACCATAGTTTAATTTTCATATTTCGACAAAAGCGGAATCCTGGTAGAAAAAAAAAACCCTATTAAAACCTAATTTAAGATTCAGAAAAAAAAGTCTTGACTACAGAATGCACTTACGTTATGTTTAGTTGAGTAACTATCAATATTTGAGCCTTCCCTCCACCACTATTTAATTAATTTATTTTTTGAGATAATAAGATGAATCCCATGGAGTTTCCCTGTAATTTATTAATTAAGTCATCATGGTTTAAAATAAAAAATTTTTTTTACTTGAAGAGATTAACAATTGAATTGTCCAGTTGGGAGTAAAGTTCACTAAGATAAGCTAATTCCTTAGAATTCAATATCTTATCGATTTGTTAACTTACGTTTCATGGTAATTTTTTTTTGTTGGTCCTTTTTAATTTTATTTGTGTTTAAGATTAATAAAAATAATTTAATGAAATAAAATCCATTCAAATTTTGAAATAAATGTATTTTTCTCTTTTGAAGTATCCTTTTTGTGATTCCCCTCCTGAATACTGAGGTTATTTATTCATTTCTTTTTTTTTTTTCCCCCTTTATTTTAATGCGTGTATATCTTATTATTTTGTTCTGATTGAACTAATTTGTTTTCGTGTGTTATAAGATACAAAGCTAGATGATATATTTTTTTTAATTTAATCTGTGAAAATCTTAAGAATCTTGAGAGAAACTAAATTTTTGTCGCTGCAATGTTCATCGTCGCAAAACATGAAGAGACATGCACATCTAAGCATTTTCTAACAGGTGAATTTTTTTATATATATACCACCACCCGGTGAAGGAATTTCGGATTGAAATTTTTATTTGTTGAGTAATTTTTTTTTTCAATGAATTTGATTGGAAAACTATATAGTACGTACTTTTGAAACAGATACTATGTTTGATTTTTAAAAGATCGTAAATAATTTTAAGGGGGATATTTCCGTATCGATGTTTTTTTTTTTTTTTTTTTTTTTTTTTTTTTATTTTTTNTTTTTTTTTTTTTTTTGTCCGAAAATTAAAAAAATTTGGCGATTATTCTGCACAGATCGCTATAGAGAAATCTTCCCAGAAAATACGGTGACCCCAGTTAGTGATCTTTAATTCCTTATTTATTTTTAATATCTTTCCCATTTCCTCCCTTTCTTTTGTGCTTTACATTTAATTGATAAAGCACAAAATCTCCTCATTTCCAGATTTAGTCTACGTAATTTAGGGTTCTATTTAAGATAGATGGGGGTCCATAAAAGGACCCTTCATAAGTTATTTCCTTAAATAGAATATATTTTGTATTTTTTTTTTTTTTTTTTTTTTTTTTAGTTTAAAAAGAACTCTTCACAATTCATTTCATTTTAAAAGTGGACCCTTCACAAGATTCTTCCTTTGAAAACGGAGTTAATGACTGGTTAATTCATAATTTTATTACCACCGCTTCTTGTCAGCTGAACATAGTTTCAAGTTATACCCATAGTTTTAAGCCCCTTCCCCTCAAATATAAGACCTTATTTTATAGATTCAGAAAAACCGGGTCATGCAGAAGTATCCGATTGTAATTTAAATTTAGATTTTAAAAATAATCAAAATTCTAACAAAAGCTGGAAATAAATTGTACAAATCAGTATTTTTGTTATTTTTTATAGAATCATAAAAATAAAACCCTTGTTTTCAACAAGAATCTGGATTGACCCCTGCTATGTCGTTTGAGGTTATCGCAGTACAATCTCTACCGGCTCTTATGTCATATATCTTGCCATTTTTATCATACAATATATCACTGGTACAGAACTCCTAAATGAATGAATAAAAACAAATGTTAATTTTTGTAACTATTCAGCTGGCAACAATTGAAATGGATACGAAATCTAAATCAGCCAAAATAAAACTAATATTAATAGCAAAAAAATAAAAAATATTTGGAATATTAATTGAACTTAGTTCCTGTTGGTCTATAATCACGCAATTTTTTGAAAATATCATCTCGTATAGACGCCAGTCGGTCTGGAAGGCGGCGGTGGGTGGGTGGGTAGGTATGTTGACCAAAGGACAGGTGTTTTTTGAGATGAGAAAAGTTATTAGATCCGCTACTTATATTCTTCTTATGAGTGTGGGAATGCTTGCTATTGAAGATTTAATAGAACGGGCTTCTTTAATTTTATTCCTGATTTTCGAAAACTATTTTCAATCTCTTTTTTTTTCCCCCTTCTAGTTTCTTTTTAACACTTAAAAAGTTTAATCGCTCCAAAACATATTTTTATGCTATAGAATTCTTTTATTTTATTTATATAAAATTTGTAGTGCATTTGTTCATGCGTTCCTCACTTTGTGATATGGCCTTCGTTTTAATTTGTCATATTGCAAGGATCTTTCCAAACTTTCTGTGAATATATGGTCCTTTTTTGTGATTTTGAGAAAAATCCATCCAGACGGATCCAGGTGATCAACTTACAGCGGTTGTCAATTTAACAGTTTTCTCTATGTATTGATTAATATCAGAAATTTAATTCATATATAAGTTTTTCTGGAATTATAGACATTCCTGGAATAGACTCAGATCCGACACCATTAGTATGACATAGTAATTTTGAATTCTCTCAAAATGCCGCATTTTGTTTTTAAAAAAATTAATTTTTTTGTTATTCCCTTCTCGATTACTTTTTCTCTATCTATTTATTCCAATTCTAGTTTATTTATTTATTATTTTATTTATTTATTCCAATTCTAGTTTATTTATTTATTATTTTATTTATTTATTGGATTCGTCTTAATTGTGGTATTGTTCAATCAGGGGTCTGTTTAGAAGAAATTTAGGTCCGTTTACGGACCCTTCACAAAATATCTTTTCATAGAAACGGACCCTTCACAACATATCTTTTCATAGAAACGGACCCTTCACAAAATATTTTAACTTAAGAACGGACCCTTCACAAAATAATTTCTTTTAATCGGACCCTTCGCAAATTTGTTTATCTTCATCATTGTTTTGTTAATCGAATAAACCCTTCCCGGGGGGGGGGGGAAGACAGATGTAAACGAACAAAGTTTTATCTTCAGCAAACGCTTCTTCCTTTATTCGTCCGAAATGAATATTCTGCGTTCAGTATAGGCTAAATACCAAATATTTGTATGCAGCATCTCTAATTTAGTAGCAGCAATTGCTGTTTATCTTTTAAATTTTAATTTTTTTTCATTATAATTTTACAGTGTTGTGCATAATCTTGTATCTCTTTACAATTTAAAAACTCCTTGAAAAAGTTTTTTTTTGCAATAACAGGAATTCACAAAATGTCTGGACAGACCCCTGGTTCAATTCAAATTTTGCTTAGATGAATAAACTGACACCCCCCCCCCATAAAATTGTGAAAGAGAGGGATTACCTTAACTAAAAACACATTAAGTATTGTTTTATTTCTAAATGTTCATGTCCAGCTGTTTCATGCATTTCTTAACTAAGCAACTTACCAGATCCAACTACTACTGGACAGATGAAATGCATACCTGCCAACTTTTACGCATTTGGCGTAAAATTTTATTTCTATCTTTAAAGTGGTAGTAAAATGTGTGCTTTTTTTATATTCTTTGCATTTACCTTTCTTTTTATTTGGTTTTTGACTACCATTATTTTTTAAATAATTGAGCACATATATTAATATCTAATGCTGTCATGGTAGTCCGCATAAGTTTTTCCAAAATACAGCTTATATATCTGCCTAAAATTGTAATTTAAATTCCATATTACTACCACTGGGGAAAATCCTACTCGAAAGGATTAAAAGTTGGCAGTTATGGAAATGTATACATTTATTTTATTCTACTTTCAATTAATTGACAAGAAATAAAATTAGCGACTAAGCTTTTTAATGCACAATTCTATTTTTTAATTACCTGTCAATATTTTATATTCATCATATTCACATTTTTCTTGTTGCTACTAGAAAATGCAAGAGTTTATTTAAAGCAGGTGTTTATCTTTAATTCTTTCACCAAAGTCGTAAAATTAAATTGCTGGCTATAAAATCATGGATGCTCAACTCTTAACTTTGTTGAAGTTATTTTGACCGACAACGCAAGATATGGGGAAT